GAATGAAAATGGTCTTTTGTCCTCATTACTCCGCTCAGCATTTTTCTTTATGCTTTATTGCCTTTTAAAAGAACATTACACAACAGTAAAGGCTTCTGGTGGACAGTAACTGCCTTTTAACCTTGAAGAGACATATAGTATGCTAAATGAGAGGCTGGCTAATTGACTTTCTGCACTTGAGGAGAAGAGAGGTCACATGATGAGTGCATACTCAAGTGCATACCTATTTACTCTCGTGTGTGTCAGTGTGTTTTTTGGTCTGCCTCATTGATTTTTCTGAAAATGTGGAAAAGAGTCAATATCATATTTCCCAGAATAGGCGATCATGATAATAAAAGGCACAAAAAATATCAGCAATAATAATTTGATAGCATAACAATTGTATAGTCTTCTATATGCACTTTGTTTCCTGTTTCTTTGTTTAAAAGTGCAAATATTCAGCACATTGATGTATTAGTCTCTCATCACTCTGACATTCATTTCCTGCCGTAAACAGGCCAAAGACTATGTGTACCTTTTGAAGACAATCATCTTTAAGATAAGGTCATACATATGCAGTATTTCTTTTTTTTTAAATATATATGTTTCTCAAATTTGCCTTGAGTTTCTTTCTTTTTCATGTGTTTTTTGTACGCACCATCTGATTCTAAGATGGACGTGTAAACAAGGATGATTTAAAATAAACTACTGTACCCATGTTCCTTATAATTAAAGGACATGTCACCCAGTGGATCCGTGGTGTGTTTTGAATACTTTTTTAATAGCATTAGTGCTCTATTTCACAAAAGAAAAACACTTTGACATTAATTGTTATTAGGATCTGTTAGTCTTGTTCTTGTCAGTAGATATGTTTATGGTCAGAACAATACAAATCACTAGATATTATCCACATAGTACAAACCAAGGACTTTGCTGACAATGACATTGCCTTTTGGAAACAATACACACATTTCCTGTTCTTTTCCAAAAGATTTCCTGTTCCTGTTTTGGCCTCTTGTCTCGCCTGATAATTCACCCCTCACATCTGTTTGTGTTGTACTCCAGCTACAGTATGTTTGTGTTTAAAATGCATGGACTTTATGATGAACCACATCCCTCTTCACACTCTTTACGCACACACACACACACACACACACACACACACACACACACACACACACACACACACACACACACACACACACACACACACACACACACACACACACACACACACACACACACACACACACACACACACACACCACACACACACACACACACACCACACACACACACACACACACACACACACACACACACACACACACACACACACACACACACAACACACACACACACACACACACACACACACACACACACACACACACACACACACACACACACACACACACACACACACACACACACACAATTATCCTTAGTGGGACAGTTCAGTGGAGCAGTGGGCCAGTGCTCAGCTGCTTGAGACCGAATTAGAGTGGCAAACAGCTGAGCTTCTCTGGGGTGCTATCATGTGACCTATCCCACCCACGGGCCAAAGGGACTAACGTTTAGTGTTACCATGTCCAATTTCCAGCATAGCCGTTATTTGAGTATGTGTGTAGAAATATATCTCTTCCTGTGTGTTATATTTGTTTCAGTAGAGGAGTTGTAATGCTGCGTTCACACCGGACGCCATGCGATGTTTGGGGGCGGCGCGATTACATGTAAAGTCAATGCAGAGACGCGGACAGACGCGAATTCGCTCCGACGGCGAGCATGAAGCGGTGGACACGGCGCGAATCACGCGATTGAGGCGATTCAACGGTGCCGCGTCAAACGCGAGAGTTCAATTTTTTCAACTCGAGCGTCAAAATTCACGTGACGCGTTCTCGCGGAAGCCAATCAGCGGTGAGGATCTCAGCCTGCTGTCACTGACATTCAACCAGAAAACATCAGCCGTTAGCTGTTAGCAGTTAGCACACAGAGCTCACAACTCCTCATATCTGTTCAGAAACTGTCAAAAGTTAAAGAAGAAAACTTGGTGATGGCGTTTTCTCCTGGAGAACAAGGGAAGACAGGCTTCTCCTGTTTTTTCAGCCTTTGTTATCATTTTGATTATCAAAAATATATATTCTTGTCTGTGGTTGTTTTTGCGTTCAGGGCATACAAGAGGTGTAACATTATTTGAATACCAAAACTACATTGAAATAGAGTCTAGCTTGAACAGCAACTAAGTAGCTGTAACATTACTGGGTTATTTGGTGATAACTACCAAAGTAAAGTAACTTCAGACGCAGACGTCACGTAGCTTCTCAGACGAGAGGGGTGGCGACGAGAGTGTCATGTTACTTCTCTCACGGCATAGTTCACGGCATGGTAGACGACGATCGACACGACTGTCTGCTCAGTGAGTTCGTTCTTTGGCACAAATCACACCTCATACAATTGAGGCGATTGAATGGTGCCGCGTCAAACGCGAGAGTTCAATTTTTTCAACTCGAGCGTCAAATTCACGTGACGCGTTCTCGCGGAAGCCAATCAGCGATGAGGATCTCAACCTGCCGTCACTGACGTTCAACCAGAAAACATCAGCCGTTAGCTGTTAGCATTTAGCACACAGAGCTCGCAGCTCCTCATATCCATAGCCGCGGGAAGTAGGGGTGCTGGGGGTGCTGTAGCACCCCCTGTTAGCGAGTGGTGTACATTTGAAAAACTGAGTGACCACCTAAATAAAAATGATTAAACTACATAAAATAGTTATGATTTACTTAAAATAAAATTAGCTGTATAGTAGCATATAATAGTCATAGTATATATTTGTATCAGTCAGATGGCTTGAATTTATTTTCCAAATAAAATCCGAGTCATCTAGGTCGTAGGTCGTGGAATAGTGACGTAATTGACGCGACACACACACTGCAGAGTGACGACTTTCTAGAATGGGGCAAAAAACGATTTAGGATTTTTTTTCAACAAACAACCCAATAAAAAGAGTGGACCACCAGCTACTCCTCAGCCCACCACCTCTACAACTAGAGTAATATGACACAGAAGAGACTGACACATCTGACTTTGATGCATGTCCATAGTAACATTTTGGACAATGTGGATGTATCTGCTCTAATGAGGGTCTTCATTAGTGCCACCCCAGAGAGGAAGGCTACATTTGGAGTTTTGTGAAGCCCCAACACAAGGTAAGACGATATTTTCCTTTAATGCTGCTGCCGCTGTGCAGTGTTTTGCCTTGCCTTGCCAATCAGTTAAAATTGAATTCATAGTTTTATTAATATTGTAAATAATATTTTCGTCTGACTATTTGTAATGTACGGAAGAGGATTAGGGCCACATGATTTTTTTTTTTGGGAGGATTTGAAAAAAAACGTTTTTTTAATTCGCATCGCATCCGGTGTGAACGCACCATAGAGCGATGCGATAGGAGCGAAAAGCCTCTCCTCTCTCTCGGCCAGTAAACTTGCTCTCCGGCCTCCTGATAGCCGCACCTTTCTGTTCGCCTGTCATTAGCACACACTCTGCCCTTTGTCCCTCGGCTTGTCTCAGTGACCTGCTTAGGGCTGCATGGCTGCATGGGGAGGTGTTTCTGACGTAACAAGAGACCACATCTGGGGGAGAATGTATCAAACAGCCTACCTGATCTATGATGAAAAGAAAAGCCCCCGCAGCACATTTGGGATTGTTTAGATGTATTGTTTCCTAGCTTGCAGAATAACAGCGTGGCTTTTTTTCAGTGTCCGTCAGCAAAGGTAAGGGAGAAAGAGCTGAGCACCGCACTAGCCATTACTCCTCACCTGATGAAAGGTCTTGTAACACTTCCACTGCTAGTGTTGGCAATACTCAGATGATTGTCCACTTATGGCTCACAAGAGCTTAATCTCCATGAATCTGAAGGACTGCAACCACCAATAAGGTTGGGAAGTAATCATGAAAAGTTTTCAATTTTTATAAAATGCAGCTTTGTAATCATAGTAATGTAATTACAGTCCAATAAAAGAGAAATTGCAAAGGAAAGTTGCAGTTTGAGTTTCGAACGACCTTCTGAAACATGGCTCACACATGTCAGACATGTGCGTATGTGTGTGTGTTGTGGGGGGGGGGGGGACAAGGCCCAAAGCCGAAGGAGTGTGTCCTGAAGGGCCTTGAGTGTTTACAGCAGAGTAACATGAGGAGTGGACCAGCCTGTCCCGCCTACTCCATAACTCTAAATGCAGAACCACAGCTGTGTTTCTCTGTATTGAGGGACTAGGAAACAAAAATAGAGACTAGAGGGAAATAGTTAAATGAGCCCCTGTAAAAGAAAATAAATGTTACATAACCAGCATGAGTATTTATCAGATATTGATCAATTACGGGTGAAGAAATGTACAAACGTCTTAGTCAAAGGTTTGAGGCCAATGTGGAGGTCATTTACTGCTGCCCATGCATGTGTGCAGGCTAGTGTGTGTGTGTGTGTGTGTGTGTGTGTGTGTGTGTGTGTGTGTATGCGTGCGTGTGTGTGTGTGTGTGCGTGTGTGCGTGTGTGTGTGTAAGGGGGGATGGGGTACCACAGGAATTAGGTAATATTGACATGGTTTTTTCAACTCCACCCTCCAACACCACTAAGATCAATGTGCCAGATCAATAGAAGTCATTGACAATAACTGAACTTCTCATGTGATCAGTGAAGGAGAAAATTCACAATTTTTCAGTAGCATGTGTCCGACGTGCTCATCCATCACAATGATGGTCTGCAATTTAAAAAAAAACATGCATACACCCTTTCAAATAAGATCATACACAAATGCACATGTGCAGAAACACACACAGCAGGGGGAAACAGGCTCTCCTCTGACACTGCATGATTGGTCACTTTTTCCCTCTCTCTCCCTTCCTGCTGAAATAGTTTTAACAAAAGAGAGGGAGAGGGAGGAGGGGGAGGGGTGGCGTGGTTGGGGGAGGGGATGTATGTGCTGCTCTGTTGTCACTGGGCGAGCGAGAGCGAGAGGGGGGAGGGAGAAGGGAGCTGGAGGGCGAGCGAGGGAGTGTACGAGAGAAGGATAGGGTCCCAGTACAACCTCCACATACACACACACACACACACACACTCACACATGTACATGTCGGCTGCCCTGTTGTACTTTGTGGAATAGTGGATTACTTTCCTAATTGATTCCATCGTGGAACAAATTCAAGCATAACAGGTCAGTAAATATTTAGTGACTTGTTGAAAAATGTTTTGCTTTTATCTCCTTCCAGCAGCACTGACAATGTTTCTGCTGCTTCTTGCACATTCCTGTCATTTTCTATGCCCTCTTTATTATGTTGCTTAACATTGTACATGCTGAAGTTTCTCTTCTTAACACATATACTGTATATGACATATTCAATAGTTTGTCACATCAGGTTACATGTCTTTGCAGCTCTACACTTTACACAGTTGTTTCCCCTCATGTATTCCATGTTAGAGATGAGAGCCTCCTTGCACTTTGCTGTTGTGGTTTGCAGTGTTTGTGATGAAATGTGGGTGGCCTTAAAGAATTAGAAACTTGTCTCCGCTGGTTGTGTGGTTTTGTGGTCAGAGAGAAAAAGCCCCCCTCTGTCAGGGCATTTAGCATTCAAACTGTCCTGACTGGTCGCTTGCACACGTGCATGCACATAAACAGACAGAAAAAAATGAGTAAAAGCAAAAGTGAGCGCATGGGAAACTTACGAGTCAATATTAGTTTTCTGCAAATATTTCCCAAAAGTAAATATTCTCAATTGTCATTCTAACCTAATTCAACTTGTAGTAAATGCAAGCAACATAAGAGCTTTTTTTAATGTATACATTTATCTTTAATTATGTCCCTATAATCTGGTTTTAATTGGCCACAATAAAAAAATAAACATCCTCCTCTTGTACAGTGTGTGTTTTGGTTCTAACCCTGGCATGTGTGTGCTCCTCAGGTGGCAGCGTGTCGGAGCGGTGTTGAACTGTGAAATGAACCATGGAGGGGTCCAAGAGGGCAGTCACTAGCCGAGCCAACACCACCACCAGGAGAAGCAGGAGGCCCCGCAGCATGCAGCTGGGCCCTCACTAGCACCAAGTGGACCCTCCTCTTCACCTGGGGCCAGGGCAGCAGAATGCTCAGTCCTGTCACTCCATACAGTAAGTCTGCACTGATTATTTTTACTTTACATGTGTGGATCATCCTGTCCAATGACGTGTCTGTTTTGCATGTTCGTGAACAATGCAAACTAGGTTGATTTGAGTCTGTTTTTCTGCACAACTTCATCTTTTGTCCAGGACTCATCTCCTGTGGTTCAGTGGAGGGAAGCGAGGGGCTGGGGGGGTCTCAGAGAAGTCATTTTGAGAAGACAGATATACTAATGGCTTTAACAGCTGAGTCTCCAGACTCTGCTTTGAGGAATTTCACAGAAAGTGTTCATTTTCAGTTTTTTCAGCCCCTCCATGTGAATATAGTAACAATTTGTTGAAACAGACAGAAGCTAAAGCCCCACTGTCTTTCTCAGGAGCAGCATGTACTTGTGAAGCAGTGCAGAGAGCAGCTGACTTTTCTTTAAGAATACTAGATACATCAAATGTTGTACGTATTTATAAACAATAATAGCACTATCACACCCATTTTCTTTATCAATGAACTGCAATCTAAAAGCTTGTCTATCAAACTATGATAATGGTGTTTTGTGTCGAAAACATTCATGAAAAATGCAACCTTATCAGAGTGGACAGATGTTCTGTGTTTGCAACATTAATATGTAAATGCAGATCAAATCAGATAAATCTCCTCGACACATCACAGTTCAGGCCGTGCTTGTATATGTGCTAATCATGAGAGGTTGCTATCCAGCCTGATGAATATGCTTATATTGATTGACTGGGCTATTGATTAGGCCAAGCTTTAACAGGATTACAACGTTAACCTGATTGGAATAATGCAACAGGGATTTATTTATAGGTTTCAATATTCTAAAGAGCTACACAGATGCACAGAGACAAACCACAGAAAACGTCTGTCAGAAAGAGAGAGTTTTGCGAGCGGAGAGAAGTTTTAGTAACGTACGTCTGTAACATTCCTCCCTCAAAAAGACTCACAGCGTCACGTTAACTTCCCACAAAAATCTCGACTACCCGCAATCCTATAATAGTATTTATCTTTAAAAAAACAACACTACTTTGATAGCAGATTCTCACATCTCTTGTCCATTTTACACACGCCCTCACACAAGTAAACATGCAATCACAATCAACCACACCTCAGTATGAGCTAGGGCCATAACGATGATTAGCCGTTTTAGCCCCTTTTAGCCACTAGTTACCAGGGTGAAGTGATTCTGTGAATGAAAGCCAGATCGTTAGTAACCTGGTGTCACCAGCTTCTCATTAGTCCTGCATAAAGGGACAAATAAACATTTACCCTCCGCCTCCATTCACACACACACATTAGTCCTCCATAGCAATCACGAAAGCTCGTAAAGCAAATTGTAGCACACCTTAGATCCTCATTAGGGGTTATAGTTAAGACCCGTGCTGCTGCGGGTAAAAGGACAGAGAAAGAGAAAAGTGAAGGGCAGATGGAGGGGACGCAAGGAGGGACTGGTCAGCTGCAGCCTGATATATGAGAGGACACAATAAGCAGAGAGGGGCCACATGTGTGTGTGTGTGTGTGTGTGTGTGTGTGTGTGTGGTGTGTGTGTGTGTGTGTGTGTGTGTGTGTGTGTGTGTGTGTGTGTGTGTGTGTGTGTGTGTGTGTGTGTGTGTGTGTGTGTGTGTGTGTGTGTGTGTGTGTGTGTGTGTGTGTGTGAGAGAGAGAGCTAAAGGAGTGGGGGTGGGGAAACTGACCACACAGGCTCGGACACACGGCCCTGTCTTTACTATAGCACAGCAAGAAGGAGGCTGGGTCATGAAATGGAGACTTCAGGGCAAAACAAGAGTGAAAAATTGTAAAATAAAGTCAAATACAATGAGGGGGAAAGGTGGACTACATTTATTTAAGGTCAAGTAGTTCGTCAGTAGAGCTGTGTGTTAAAATTGTCTGTCAAAGCAGGAAAAGCCACATTCTCACTTTAATTGCACTGTGGCTTGTGCTAAGAAATGTAGGTTAGAGGTGTGTAAAAGTCGACTCAGATAAGGGACAGTAGTAGATTGACTGACAGCTTTGTGGCCTGGTGGACTGTGCAGGTCTGGAGAAAAGGGGGAAGGGGAAAGAGGGAGGTTTTTTTTCTCCTCAGCAGATCCTCCTTCACACTGGCCGCAGCGTTTTAGACTCTGGTCACTGCTTACATAACAATCTAACCCTCATTTACTCGGTAAGCAAATAAGACAGAGATAGCTGTGTGATGAGTGTGGACCAATGAGAACCCTGACAGGCTCCATGTGTATTCATATCCCATTTCTCCTCTGATGTATTGATTTTACAGGCAGTGGTGTGAATTAACTCTAACTAATACAAATCGGCCAATAATGCGCAAACAGCTGATAGGGTCATTCATCAGCACTGTAAGTGAGCGTGTTCTCTCGCTCCCTTCCTCCAGCCACAGAGAGGACAGTGTGTGGTGAGCGTGTGGAGAGGATATGTGCTTTGTAAATAGATCTCAGGTTAGATTCCTGGCATTCCTGCAGCCTGACTCATCCCATAGATGACCATGAGCTCCTCTGCCTGTTGGCCAGCTGAAGCTAAACACAGCGCCTGAAGCACAATATAGAAGCTAGCTTGAGCCTGTGAGTGCATCTGGGCGTGTGTGTTTCTGAGTGTCTGTCCATCCTCAGGAAATGTAAGTCTTTGTTTATTGTGAGTGGAGTAAAAAGCACTAACAGAGGACCTTTCAGCTCCAGATTTTGGTTTCCACTCCCCATCTAGCCAACCAGCCTGTGATGCTTCACAACCCCCAAAATCCCCAACCCAGTCAACCCCTTCCCCCACACGTACTTTCATCTAATTAACCCCTAATTACTCATACTGACCATGCAGTGGACGACAAGTCAGGCTATCCTCCACTGATGCACAGAAAACCTCTGTGACTTTCTTAATTGTGTTTACTTGAAAGAGAAAATCATTTGGTTTAATTGCTGCATATCCTATCGATGACAACATGTGACGGTTAGAGCAGTGAGGTTTTAGTGGAGGTTGTTGACAGCTCGATAGAGAGATGAGAGAGTTACACTCAGTCCAGTTCACGTTTCACAAATGGATCAAGCTCTTGTTTTCAGGGTTTCTGCAGGTTCTTCAAATTAAGACTCTTTAGCGGGCATAGGAAGATTAGTATGAAATACAATAAGTGCTAGAATAACTTATAATCCATTGACATGAAAGTAGTAATATACATCAATGAATATAACAGGGTAAGTTGGCTCATATATATCATGGCAATTCTGATCAGGGTTAAATAACTCAACTCAATACTTTTAACTTTATTGTCAGGGAGGAACTTCATTTTTAATAAAAATGTAATCTTATTTACAAAAAGCTAAGAATGAAAACATGGAGCTAAGAAAAATACCAAATTCCTAACACCCTATTGTTTATTTGCAAATTAACAAAACAATGCAGCATAACCTTCAGATATATTAACTTTGAGATCTATTGAATTGTAATTAAGAACATTTTAGGTCTAAATTTAAGATTTTGAAATCCTGCATTCCACATTGACGAGACGTGTTTTGGTGGACCTTGAGGCCATGTAGCATATGTTTAGGTCACGATGACGAGAGAAGTGGAAGAATTTACATCGGCACTGTAATTATACATCACTTCCGGCTCTGGGTAGATTAAAGGAGAATTACTTGTTTGTGTTGGGATGATTACAAAATCTCATGTCAGATTTATAATTGTGAGTGTAAGTGTCAAGGCAGCTACACTGCAGGGCACTCTGCGGTTTCTTTAAGTTCCCAGAGGATTTTGCGGCAGCTTACATACGCCTCTCACCACATGTATATAACTCTAGTGTCTGCAGGACTGGTCTGCGTGGGATGTTAGTATTTCCCTCTAACCTCGTTATGCTTGATCCCCTCTTGCCACAACACGTTCAGTGGAGCACTTTCCTGATGTCATCTCACTCTTCTCAATAATAATGCAAACATTTGTTATTATTTAATTAGCAAAGCCATTTTGAAACGTGCACATTTACTGTTCCTGTGAAGAAATGAATCTGTGAGTATATTAACATAACTATGTTTGGAGTAATATTTTGGTATTGAACGGAGACCTAAGACTGGTCCAAGTGTCACTTCACCGTAGCTTGAGGTTAGGCGTTCATGTTTTCAAATAAAGTCAAAATGATCAGCATTCTCATTCATTTCAATGTGAGAAAGACCCAAGAGCAAAGGGAAAATTCGAGGTACAATGGGCTGAAAATACACTTGACTCACTGAGTGCAGGAAAGTACATGCACTGAGCAACCATATTGTGACAAAATGTTTCTGTACGTCAAAAAAAAAACGGGGTAACTATGAATCTTTAACGTATAACATTTCTTAAGTAACCTTCCTAGCCGTGATGACAGTTACAGCTTACAAGGAAGTGACGTAGGAAACGCGTAGTGACAGCACACATAGCATAACATATTTCTTTAAATAAACCGACTGCTCTTTCATGGTGCTGTTTCTATGTTTTCTCCTCGCTGTGAGCTGCCCCTTCATCTGATGTGTCCAGTAGCCGCACTGCTGCAGGACAAAGAGGAAGCACTGGTGGACAGTATGATAATCACAATGATTAAGGAAAGCTGTCATAGCACCAAGCCGGCTTAGTACTCATCTTTGTCTCTTGGTAAGCCAAGCATGGCCAAGAATGGAGGGGTGTTTCCAAGCTCTGAGCCAACATGAGATGCTAGATTAGAGTAAGGGGCTCCCCTCACTCATCCTTCCTAATACCCCAACCTTGCTCGCTAAAATCCTCACTTTAACACAGATGTCTGATGCCAGAGCACTTGGGAACAGTAAGAGGTTTTAATATGGCCCACAATCTTAATGGAAAATAGGCAAACATGGTTGCATTCTCTAAACTACTTGGTATCTATTGGGAATATGTGATCATGAAAAATAGTATATTATTTGTCACCTGACAAAGAATAACAATGGTTTATTAAGCGTTACATAACAAACTGTAGTTTACTAGTTATTGTCATTTTAGTAATTAGTGCTTTATTATAATAGGTATACCTTCTATAGGTAACATTCTGCATCTACTTGTTTATAGTAGTGGCATCTGCCTATGAAACAAATACAAAAATGTTCACTTTCAAAAAGAAAAGAATAGGTATAAATGTGACACTAAAATGATTAACAGCAGTCACTACTAACTGGGGCATGGTGAAAATAGAGGTCATTTGATATCTCTATAACGTTGTATATTGCGATAAAATGTCTTCTAGTCATTAAATTAATTAAAAAAGTCTACATAAAATAACACTAGGTAAAGATAAAATGATACAGTGTAATTACAGGCCTAGTGTATTTCAGATCTGAAATGATATAGAAAGCATATACAATTTTCTTTTGTTTAGACCATTTTTAGGATATCTATTTTCATATTGCTCATTTTCTGCCTTTAAACATTCTTATTTTGTAACCATGTATGTAACTATTATTATATCTGCTATTATAATGTTGTGCTATTGCACACAATAATGATCAACATTTGTTGGAATAAAACCTTCTTCTGAGTTTTTGGTTTACAGCCAGCTCCTGGGAGATTGTCAGAGAGCGCTGACACTGCAATAAGCCTCGAGTACTCTAATCCTTCATTAGTCTGGTTTCAGGCTGGTCCTTAACCCAGGCAGACCCTCCAGTTTATTCTTGCATCTCCTGATCACACAGTGATCCTCAGTTTTAACATTCCTCCGCTGCATTTTGAGAAGGATCCCAGACACATTAGATTACTGTGGTTTAATATGTCTCGGATAAATGATAAAGCATCGGGTGAAGACGGGGTGAGAGGAGTAGATTGAAGGTGAAGCGGCGATCGGTCGGCTCGTGCCTGCAATCGGCATGACCAGTGAGTATCAGTCTGAAGAGCGTGTGTTTCTGCTGGGACTGGATGAGTGCGAACACTGCAACAAGGCATCAGTCTCTTTCTCAACAAAGTTTGTAATTCTCTCATGTTATAACCCCTTCTTCAGCCTAAAACTGGAGAGGTAAACATACTATTGTAGAAACAATGTGTACAGCTGTAAAGTCTGATATTGGGTATAACAATATAGACCAAAATCACAATTTTGCCACAAAGAGCTTTACAATCTGTTAAACCAACAACACCATCTATACTGCTGTACCCTCGATTAAAAAAAAGAGAAACAACTAAGAACAAAATAAACTCCAGTCTCAGAAAGTGATTTTGTTGTCAAATGAGTAACAACCTTCCAACTCTCCCCCTCTGAAGACGCTGGGATGCTTCCTACTGATACACACTGACACAGGACCTTTTTTATGGCTCTGATATTGATACTAAGCGTACACAGTAGACACTGTAGTTACGAGTTAAAGGGTTTAGGGGCTCCCTAACCTTGTGCCCATTAGATATATTCATGATCAGTAGATTACTCTGAAATACAAAGAATCAACTCCCTCTGGTCGGGGGTTAAACATTTTACTGGTTGGTTATTTTTTATTCTAAATCTAGTGTACAGAAACATCTCTTGTATTCCTTCGTGTGTGTGTGTGTGTGTGTGTGTGTGTGTGTGTGTGTGTGTGTGTGTGTGTGTGTGTGTGTGTGTGTGTGTGTGTGTGTGTGTGTGTGTGTGTGTGTGTGTGTGTGTGTGTGTGTGTGTGTGAACATAAGCCTTGTGCAAATACTGTTTTAATGCCCAGGATGAGCACCATGGCCAGTCAGAACTCCCAGGAGCACAGGGTGGAGCTTTGCTGGTCGAGAGCACTGCGATCCCTGGATTGGATGAGTGGGATTATTGGGCTGAAGGATCATTTAATTTAGGGATCAACATGTGGACCGTTTGAGACCCATCTGGTGGTCCTGGTGGACATGTCACACAACCTGCCATTCACCACATGTATGCTGTTTAAGAGCAGGCATGTGAGTCGTCCATAGAAGGCAAAAGGCCAAAACTCAGAACAGTTACAAAGAAAAGATACATTTATGCCAAAATATTGCAAGAGATATTGATGCCAATGTATTGATATTAAAAAAACAAAAAAAAACATATACTTGGTCCACCCTTGTTGGTGAAACTGAGGCGGTAACTTCTTCCATGTCCAGTGCTGTTGTAGGGAAGCCCCTCTGGCTCTGGCCTGGGGTCAGGACAGTTTAATAATACTCTGCAATGCCTGGAATGTCAGACTAAAGCCAGTTCAAAAAGACAAGGCCTGCAAAAGCCAATCAAAGCCCACAACCAATAAACCAGTGGATTGCTTGTTTGTGTGAATGTGCATGTATTATCACATATTGCACGTCAAATTCTGATCAAATCGATCGGTTAATAGTGGTCGTAGATAAACTGGTCCAGTCTTGCTGGGCAGTATGATGAAAACCTACTCCGATACCCCCTCCGCACACTGACCCCGCCTCCTATCCCCCCGTCCAGCAGACCCCTGAGGTTTGGGCCGAATTAGATCACACGCTCGGTGGGGGCGGCTTTGTGGACTAAGAGAGTCACAGAGAGACAACAATGGCCCTAATGTGAGAGAGGCAAAGGCAGAGGGCAGCTCGCGGGCTGATAGAGGCTTATCGCCGTGGAGACCGGGCTGGGGGCTATGTTGCCAGCTTCACATAAAGATTAGAGCAGTTGTCCCCTGCCTGGATGAGGCTGTGTAGACGAGCACAGGCTAAGCATTGACATGGTTCTGGAAAAAGGGTCAGCCATCCGATGTGATTATGAGGGCAGATATTCATGAAGAGACTCAAGAGGAGGCAAAACATCTCAAACATCTGGGTTGGACAAAATGCTGCAAAAACAGTTCTCTTCATTAACTCTGATACATTATTTTTTTTTAGGGCTGCTGATGTCGGCCAAAATCTGTGGCGAATTGCATGGGTTAAGAATCTTAGTTGATGCATAAACAAAAACCAGTACTTGTTTTGTATAGTGGTGTCAATCGATAAAAAAATGTAATACTGCTAATCACAATAATTATCTAGGATTAATCACATCATGAATAATCAGTTTAAAGAGTAGTACTTGAATTTAAACCAACACATGTGTGGTGTTGTAAAACAAAAGTTTTTTTACTTTATAAACTTTTCTACTTTTTTGTTTTGGTTGTGTGATTTGGGGATGGGTTGAGCTTTGTATATATTTTTTATATTCGAAGACCCATTTAAATATTTTCACTTGTGTGGACTAATTCAGCTCTGGTCTCGTTTTGTCAGGTCTGTTGAAGATGCACTGGTCCCCGGAGCACGCCGCCCCCTTATCTCAGTGGCCTGAGCAGCACCTAGATGTCACCTCTACCACCTCACCGCCGTCTGCCCACAAACACGACCCCTACGGCGCGGCTGGTCGCCGTGGCTACGGCCCTGGAGGTTACCCCTGGGCCAGTGATGACATATCGGCCCTTACTGCTTCTTCTCTGCTCAAACGCTACGCTGAGAAGTACTCAGGCTTGGAGCTGGCCTACGATCGCCCTCCTTCAGGGGCCTACCCTGAGCCTGGGACTTTCCTGAAAACTGAATCTGAGCCATGGGTTCTAGGTCAGGGCATGGAGTGTTACCCTGGACTGGAGGCATTAACTGGCAAGGTGGGCATCCCAACCACAGGAAGTGTGACAGTAGTGAGCAGTAACTTGACCTCTGAGCCAGGCTTCGGTGGTGCTGGCTCCTGCGGGGCCCCGTCCTCTCAGGATTACCCTCCTGCCTACAACAGCACCTACCTGTCCTCAGGTTACTGCCCTCAGCCCGGCGCAGCACTTCCCCCTGCCCCTCTACACTCTCTGCAGGCCGCACCCACTCTAGTGCCTAGCTACAGTGCCAGTACTCCTGTCTACAACTACCCCCCAGGGTGCTACCCCCAGCCCGGCCTGTCCTCTGGATACAGCCACCCCAGTGCCTCCTACCTGCCCCCTGGAATCAGTGCCCCTACTCCACTGGCCCCGAGGCCCACCATGGTTGGGGGCGGTTACAGCTACCAAACTCACAGCCTTGGAGGGAGCTCCGAGGGAGGGGTGCCGCTGAAACGCAAGGCCTTCGAGATGGCAGAGGAAGGACAGGAGGGAGCGGAAGTGGAGGGATCCCGCTACAGAAAGTACGGAAACGGTCATAGCAAAAGTCACGGCAATGGGCATGGCAACGGGCACGGCAACGGCTACGATTTGAGCGTCTCTGCCTCAGACCCACAGGCCTACAAACCAGGAAAGCCCATGATGTCCCCCTCCTATGGCGGGGCAGGGGACTACAGCCCCCCGTCAGGCCTGGCAGGAGAGAGTGCTTCAGCGGAGCACAGCTTTCCTCAGCAACAGGGAATGTCTATGAAGATCCCCGCATCGCACACACGATCTGAGGACCCCGCTGCTGGGCGCTGACAACAGAGAGGATCTCTGTTTGAAACCAACCAGGCTTCTTAATCTAGGGAACAACATTGGATCTGTCAATGAAAGGTTTAATTTCACTAGTGTACACAAGACTGGTATTTCTTGTGCATCTTTAATATTTTCATTATTCCTGTTTTTCCAAAGATTCGCAGAGGCATTTTGCCCTGTAAGGTTGAGGTAAGTCTTGGGGGTGAGGTTAAGGCATTCTCTACATAGATAGCTTTAAGACAGTCTAAAGGTGTGAGTGTCTGTTTCTCTCAGGATCCTATTTATTTCCTTTTCTGCTACTGCTGCAGCTTCACTGAACACAGCTGTTTTAGAAGTTGTTGTAATTATTTGTGGCCATTATGTATGCAAAAGGCCTTTGACTGCAATACTTTTAACCACACCACAAAAAATCATTACTGACCAAAAAGTAAGGAGAGCAATAACTGAGATGGTGAGATTGCCATACTACTTCAGCACAATCACTGCTACTTTACACAGCTGACCCTGAGGCTCGGTGTGTCGCCCTGCCTCGAAAAATGAATGTTTCCCCGCTCATCCCTCGCTTTCTCGCCACCTTTACTCACTCTAAACTTTCAGTTTTTTTTTTTTCGTTCTTTATCTTATCCTATCCAGGTGTCCTGCTTCTTTTTTGGCAAAAACTTATTTTTTTTCTTGACTGTCCAGTTAATACTTAACAAGCTGCTTATCAAATGATTACATATAGAGTACATGAAACCGACCTTTAAAATTGTTATGATGTAAAAAGTGGGGAAATAATCTAAAATGTAATGTTCATTTAAAAATGTATTTAGCTTTCACAAACAGCATACCTGTAGATGCAGATTTCTCCTCATCTTGGAATGAACAGCTTTATTTCTAAGGAATCTGCAGATAAAAATGCAGCTTACACATTTACTATTAAAATGATTGCAAGCAATAGTGATTGTACAAACCTACAAAACAACAACAACAATGCTTAAGTCTGCATACTATAAAACTTCACTCAGAGAAAACAGTTTAACGGCCTGTTTGTTACTTCTGTTTGGATGCACAGCCCGGACTGAGAGTCTCAGCGGAGGATACGTGCTTTTGAGTGCCTCGACTTTTTTTGCTCAGTATTACATTCTTAATGAAGATCCACCCGCTTGTTTGCTATACGATTTACTTTTCTCTCTTTTTTTTTAAATATGCATTCTCTTTACTTTTGCCTCTCAAAAGGATGATTATAGTAGTGGGACGGAAGAAGACAGGAAGAAGATGACCGAAGAAGGAGGAGAAAAGAAGAGGGGAGGGGAGGAGTGAGGGGGGGGGGAGGGAGCGGAGGGAGCAAGAGGAAAACGGAGCAGGGCGGGGAGGAAGAGCAAAACAAACGCGGAACACGGCAGGGAAACAACACACGGACAAGGCGGGAGACGAACAGGAGAACGAACACACACACACACACACACACACAACACACACACACACACACACACACACACACACAAACACACACAACCCCACACAAACACACACACACACACACACACACACACACACACCACACACACACACACACACACACACACACACACACACACACACACACACACACACACACACACACACACACACACAACACACACACACACACACACACACACACACACACACACACACACAACACACACACACACACACACACACACACACACACACACACACACACACACACACACACACACACACACACACACACACACACACACACACACACACACACACACACACACTGCTTCTTAGCTCTGGGAAAATTAAACTTGAGGTTTTTGTACCAAGGCCTGAAATGTTGAATGTAATTCAGATATTTTTTTTAAAAGGACAATATTCGCCATAATGTACATCAATGATGTTTTTAGATATATGAAACATATTTTCTTCATGTATAGATGTAATTCTCTTATAGGTTTTGGTGGAGAAATGAATGACGTGTAAAGTGTTAGTGTAGTTAGCTGTAGGGAATAGTTTTTCTGTGGACAAATTCAAAATTGAGCACTCCTGCAAAAACAACTTTGACATATCAAGACGTACAAATATTACAGTATATGCTCTATAATAGGTATGTTTATCAAATGTCTTAATAGTGTCCAGTTTCTTAAATTAGTATTTTAAACCGCTTGGCACACTTTCACCAGCTTGATTTGAGCTCTAACGTGAATTGACATCATGAAGAAGGGAGAAGTTAGATATTTACAAAGTATGTGCACTGTCAGAAAATATGTACAGTTACAACAGTAAATCTTTATTTCCACCGAGTTGTAGCTTTGTAACTCCACAATCCCTTCATACTTTGTGCCATACCAATATGTTTTGTGAAAAAGCATGTGCAGAGAGCGAATCCCCTTTTAAATAGAAAGATTTAGGCTGAAATGCAGATTCAGATTTAGTGTTACATTTTAAGTGTTGAAAAGGTATTTTATTTGGAAATATATTCATGAAATTTAACTGGCTGAAAAAATACCTGCAGCACACAAATATTACGTTTAAAAATATGATTTAGAAAAAGCTAATTAACAAAAAGGTGTTACACAAAACATCATGTATTCTTACCCCCAGATTTTAAAAGTATTTAAGCGCTTAGCTAAAACAAGTGAATGCTCTTCAACGCCTCACAAAGAATGTGCTCTACATGAACCTACACACTGCAACAAATGACAGTATATCCGTTTTTCTTTTGGTGTTACTCTGATTCATTGAAGTTATAAGTTGAATGTGTCCAACTGACAGAAAAAGGCGTTTCACTGTTATATATCAGTTCAGTTATCTTTTGCTGTATCTTGTACATTCTCTGTAACCATTTCTACCTCATTTTGAAGACATTGTACATGGAAGTATTTATTTCATGTCATTTCACATGCCAGTTTAAGAGCAATGTTTCCAATTGTTTTGACCTGTAAAAAGTCTACCTCACTAAAGACTGTTGTGTCATGGAAATGAAGATATCACACCAAAAAAACCTGACTTTGTCTTTTTGTCTGTGTAATTCCAAAAGTGTTTGAAATGGGTATGCTTTAATTTGACCTAAAATGTTCTTATATCTTGTCCTTATACATATAAGTTTGCTCTTTTAAACCAGGTACAAGCCTAATATATGATAATTGATTGTTCATTCCAAATGCTTTATTTTATTGGTCCATATTTTTATTTCCTAGGACCAAAAGAAACATGTATTAATAGTAATACACTACATTGTGTTCACATGGTACAACACATTCCAATAATTAACCTTAGGCCTGTGAGTCACTAAATAGGAAATCAGTCAAACAGGCAAACGTGTGCAATTTGTGTACAGGCCACTCACCGTATAAAAGGAGTAAGGTTTCATATGATAAATAAATAATTATAATATTTACTTGGAATTTCTTTCAAGGAAATTCCTCTGTGATTTAAAAGTGTCTTTGAGTATTGTCACTGTTTCCCTATAATCTGTATTATTACTTACCCGAATACTTTCTAGTAATTCTTAAAACTAAAATAGACCAGTGAAATCAAAAGTTACCAATATCTTTTTTCTCTTGTGAGTCATTTTGTTAAAACAATATTTTGTCCAAGTTGTAAAACTGGAGGGGAGCCAAGGGGCCATTTGTGTTATGTACAGAGCCCATAATAAGCTCAAGAGAGCGTAGAATAAAAGGACAGGAAGAGTGGAGAAGACCCTGACCCTCTTCCCCTTGACACCACCCCCTGTCCACAGCTTCATTGTCTGGAGGGCGGAGGGCATGCGCTGGCGTGTGACAGATGTCCAAAACTTTTGTCCTTTCCATCCACAGTGAAATAACCCTGCTGCCTGCAACACCAAAGTATCTCACAGCAAAACCTCTTTGTCCCAAACTGTTTTACATAAAATGTATCTTCAACTATAGTGACCAACCGCCTAAAGCCCCTGCATCATAAAGAAACCTCAAACCACATTCCTGTGACTGGCTGCAGGAATTAAACCAGCTATGCTCATTAAAGCCTTTCGCTTAGTGTCTGGTCTCATTTATTAATCCCAGCTCAACCTCTCACTGCCCGACTCACTTCTCACTAAGCAATCAGCTCAGCAAACCATTAATAAGTGCATCAAGTTTAGATTGAGTTGCCATCAATTCAACCGATAATATGCAAACTGGGCCCCTTTCCTAAATTCAATGCCTCTGTCAGCCCAAACAATCATATCAATTTCTTCTCCAACTCACACAGACAATGGCTGCTGCTGCTTCTGCACTAGTGGCAGTTTAAAAGTATAACAGTGACATCTATAGGCTCTTATTAGAAGTACCTCATTGTATTGAAGCATTGTCAAAGCAATAGTGATAATTGATAGACAACTACCAGAAACTGTTGCAAAGTCATTCACAACATTTAGAGAAAATGTAAACACATTTTAAATCATAAGTTAATACACATTAGGGAGGCCCTATTAGGCTTTTTTTTGGTTTTCCTTGTCATGTTCCCCCTGCCTGAAAGGCCTCGATAGGAATCCTTTGTGTGACATCACTATGTAACACTCATGCTTCCGCTCCAACACATTGTAAGATGGGCTGGGGCGGGACATCTCTAAGCGGTTAACCAATCACAACAGAGCTGGACAGCTAACCAATCAGAGCAGACTGGGCTCTGGTTTCAGACAGAGGGTGAACGTGCTGCAGCATAGGCAGTATGAGAAAGATAAAGTACTTTTTGAAAATGTAAGCATGTAAACATGTCACAGTAGAGGCACTAAATACAAATATGAACCTGAAAATGAACATTATCCTCTTACCCAGAGGTGATACCGTACAATTTCTGATTGCTCTGCAGATCTTCAGTCTGAGGGGAATCTTCAGTTTGTCCAGCACTGAGGGGGACCGGACTGCAAAGTCTGTAAAACGTAGTAGTAGTTGTTTCGATGTGTTCTTAACTCAACAATGTAGAAACTTTAAGGTTTACACTTTTTATGGAAAGAGGTAATGGTGAAAGAAGCATTCAGATCATTAAGTATAATATTGAGAAAATAACCCTCCTTTTACCAATAACACTTTTCCATCAAGAACTGTTCTAGCTTTGTCAAACAAAGTTAATCTGCAAGTTAAGTAGAAGGAATAAAGCACATTAATAGCAGCACATAATATAGATATTAAATAAAAAACATTAATATTATTTTCTTAAATATTTGTTTTCACATTCACCTTGTTTGCTAGCCTGACTGTCGGTTTTAGGAGTCGTAAAGACTGGAGAATCGCAATATAAATGCAGTATATTTACATTTAAGCAATTTCTCATACATTTGACCAATACTCATTATTCTCAGTAATAATAATAATATAGCCTACAGTTTATCAGCCAGCTAGGCTAAAGTTGATGGGTTGTTGGACTTACTGTAGGGGGAGCTCTGGATGCTAGCTGCGGCTAACACCAGGGCCGACCAGGGAACTAAACTGGAGGATCCTGATTCCTGTGGTCTAAAAAAAACAAATGTTGGTGAATCTTTGTACATTTTGTAGTAAAATGTCACTACCTGAAGTTGTTACCAGTTAAAGCGGACTTTTGAAAACACTTGGTTTGGAAGTAGGCTAGCCTACATCTAAAAACGTTTTTGAGTCCTCACAATTGTCTTACAGGCTAAGCCAGAAATGTAACCTTAGTCAGTATTTTTAAATCTTAGTTAGAGTATTTATTTTGTTATATGTATTGGACTTATATAACATTATTTTGTAATTAATATTTGTTATGAGTTAGAATCAGTGGCGAACCGTGTCTATCACAACTGGAACTTCTGTAGACACACACACTCCCCGCCGCCACCCCCCCTCCGCGGCATTATAATGTCCGTCTTTTCACTGAATTGTCGTCTTGAAAAGGGTACTCACAACAATTCCGCAACAACTTTATCTTCACCTGTTGCACTTTTCATTTCAACGTTAAAAACAATAGAACGGCATGAATTGCTTCGTCGCATTCTAGATCCTCTGTCTCGAGCTAGTTAACTAGCGGGCCTTCTAGATCTAGAGTACCCTGGAACCGAGGGGAACTCTGAAAGAATACGCCCATTGGCTACAAATCAATATATGATTGGTTGATGAAACTGTCAGTCCAAACGTACGCTCTCATTCAGTGCAACGGCCAGGGCATTCTATCAAGGATGTAGAATACCTTGGTTGAAGGATATTCTACCCAGAGACCCAGAACAAGATCTGATTGGTTGCTTTCTTTTCTAACACAAAACCACTGAAATGCGTAGTGCATG